AAGACCGCCGAAAGTATAAAGGGCTTGAAAGGTAAAACCATTGTATCGTAGTAAAATAGATATTCTATCTTCAATGACGACATTATTTCTTTCAGTGTCCTTAGCGCTCATAACAAAACTGTGACTGCCTCTATCGTGAAACAGCTTCATTCAGAAGGATTTGATGAGTTGAAAGTGCAACGTAAGTAAACTTTTAATAGAAATCGTTCTTATGAACGCTTCCTAAGATGCAAAAAACCCCAACCCGCTAACGTGTAAAAATGTATTTATTAGATTGAGCGTAAATACTCTAAGTCGATTATCAAATTGCTTTTTAATAGGGGCAGCAAAAAAGTTTCATGAGCATTTACGACGAGTTGCACAAGGCAAAGTTGATGAAGATCTAAAGATCAGAATGAAAAAATCCATTAGAAAATCGAGGGTAAGTATTACTTTATAGTTCCTTTTAGAACAAGCGTTCCACGAAGCCGTGGACCGCATTTCCTAACAAGCGTTTGAAAAAACCGCGCTTTCCGAGTTAATTAAGTAAAAACAATGGATTAATTAAATAATGCCGCTTCAAAAAAAAAACCCGCTTTCTAAAGTACGTTTACATAAGCTTAAGTCAAAAAATTATTCTGATATCTAATCTACTCTTATGAATGACAATTCACAATGTAAGTTGTCGCAGACAATTTTATGAGCGTTTCAAATTATTGTTGACCAAAACTTTTAAATCTTTAAAAAGATCTTCAGGAGCAAATTATTATTCAATTAGCCTTTGTAAAACTAAGCATTGTTTTTATTAAAAACATTTCAGAAGTATAACCAACGGAAAAGCTGCATTGACTCAGCAAAAGAAAAAGAGTTGAAAGCATTCGAAATGCTTACCAAGGACCATATGTCCAGTGATGATGACGATGAGAGCAATCCTAGTCAGTGGTTTTCAAGGCCGCCAAGCTATAGGAGCGAAAAGCTTAAAATATTTTTAAACAAGTGAGTWTGTTTATACGTTGATAAACGGCGTTTGGTAACTACAAAGATAATATTCAACAAGTGCCGATGATTATAATTGGTATTCGGAAAACAGCATTGACAGTTATCATAATTTTCATATAGCCATTATCAACCCTATCAGGACAGTATCACACACAAAAGCTACTCTCGATTTTGTTTTCTATATTTAATGGGGATATCGGAAAAATCACTTTTCTGATTTTGTAAWAAAATGTTAAATGAATTTATGGTTTAATTTATCAATTGAAGGTTAGACAGGATTCACATGAAAAGATCAAACAGACAGCCAAAGTTTACTAAAAGAGTAAAAAGAGTAGCAGGCGAAGAAAAAGATATCGACCCTCCCGCTGGTACTCCAACATGGGCMATTAGCCAGGATTGGTTAAGGGAAAAAGAGGTCTTGCTGCAAGAAGAGGCAAAGTATGTGTAAAAGATCATTATGTTTGCATTCCTTGGGTAGTATAAAAAGTGTTCATATTATGAATGTCGTGAGTMTCAGCGATGACTAATTATAACTGGCTGTGTTTTTTATTTGTACGCAGTGATGAACAAGACGATCGAGAGGAACAGAATGAAGACAATGATGTAAATTACGATGATGACTCAGACGAAGAAAGTGACGACCAAACAAGTGAAATGGATTTTGAGATATAAGCTGATTTATTGCYTACTGGAAGCTGGAAGATTTTTGTAAATTATTAGCCGATTTTCAATAAAATGTATTATGTATTGAATAATCTGGAGTTCATTCTGTTTTTGACGAGGAGGGKAGAGAAACGGGTATGCATGCGTGGTTTAAAGTTATGACCCTAGCCTGAAAAGCAAAGGATATTGATGATAATGTATATATGCAAATGAAAAAACGAGAAATTCATAATACTGCTGTTATACGGCTCCTGATACGAGAAGTATACGTGTCACGTATCACGAGTCCTTATACAATGTATACGAGGTTTCCAGTATACTTTCTTCAACTATCATTAAACCTATAGTTTAAAGGATGTATAAGATTGTATAATGCTTCCTTATACCACGTATAAGGATCCTTATACGCAAAGCGGCATATCATGATTGTATAAGAAG